TCCTCAGTCGTTTCCCAGTTCCAGCAAGCTGTACACAAACCGTTTCTCTGATTAGTCCGGCTAGCTCGGATCAATTGTTTTTTTGCCTATACTGCTAGTGTGATAATATTTCACATAGTTTTGTAGATTTACATCGGCTGCTAGGACAAAATAAACTAATTTTAAGCGCTGCTTTTTGTCTCCAGTTTTCTTCCAGTTTACGAATTTTCCCTCCCAACCATTGTAACGTATTACTTATCTTGGCGAAGGAGTAATTAAGGTAACTGCTGAACAGTGAAAGTAACTCAACGTTATCACTTCTGCCGACACAAGAATTTGCAAGTGCGGAGTTTGTCTTTGATATTTGCGTCTGTGCTGTACTTTGAATAATCCTGTCAATTTTGCCTTTCGTTACTTCCTGCCTGAAGTCTGTGAAGATAAGGACACTAAATTGTCAAGCTCGTGTTGTAACTCTTTGGCAGTTCGCAAGTATCATTAAGTCAGTGTTTTCGACTTTTCCTTTTCAATAATTGGCTGGTTACAGGTCAAGTATTCATAGAAACCCTTAGAGAACCTTTTATTAAATCTTTTCAATTGTCCCTCCCCTTCATGGTAACCAGCTCTCTATTTTGTTTTTTCATAAAAGCTTTAATACAACCACAAGCCAGGTTCCGCTTATTTCAGAGACGTCAAGTGAAGAAAAGTCTCGCTCTAAGCCAGAGTCAAATAATGTTGATATGATAACATGAAAACGATGTTATTCAAGCAAAAGATTACTTCTAGTGCCACGTGGAAATTATGATGCGAAGAAGAAGTCGCCTCAGGCTTTACTGAAAGTTGACCGGAAATTTTCAAAGATCTTATCCCTGTAAACCACCAGCACTAAGTCGAGAAATCTTGAACTGCAGGTTTTTTTCATGTGCAGCTGGTGATTTTCCACTTCGCAGGAAAACAAGAAATGTTTTTATTTCGAATTGTTATCTTCTCTAATTTTTTCTTACGAATATGTCTAAATTATTCGCCAATTTGTTCTTTGGCATAACTATCATTGCACTCGAAGAATCCGTCGACTGTTGATGGCTTCTTCGATTCACGTGATTTTTTATACAACCTTTAGAAAGCTCGTCTTTTTTTTTTTTTTTTTTCATTTCAGCTTTTGTGCAGAATTATTCATAAGTATGTTTCAAGTATTCGTTTATTTCTATAACTTAGGAAAGGCAAAAATTTTAGAGGATTTGCTCTCGAGTTGCCGTCAGTTTCAGTTCAAATTAATAGAGACAACTTAGCTTTATGCACCAAGGGCATGTAAACTGCATAGCCTTTTCACGGTGCAGTGAAGATTGAGAATGCACAATGGATCAGAGGTGACAACTGAGATCTATTAACTTTGTTACCTGTCTCACTATTTTCGACTTTGGAGGTGGAATTAGTCAAGGTCAACACGAGTTGGATGCCCTTCGATTTCACGTTCATGCTTAAAGCAAATATGGTTTTTATTATTCCACGAAATGCTGGTCGGAATTCTCTATCAACTTTAAATTCCATTCGGTGGCTATTATGATGTTATCGCCTGATAATGCTTATAAACAGATTGAGCCGACAGACGTTGTCCTCAGTTTAAAGAGGCGCCGCAAGGGCAGCTTGGCCTCGTTGCTGATAAACACATTGGCCTTGATCGGAAGAATGAGATTAGATAGACATTTGCATAGCACTTAAGATTTATAAAGATCTAATTAGTTGTTGTGACAGCCAGAAGAGGATTATATTGTTTTTGAATGGCCTAAGAAATTTACGGAAAGGAATCTCGTGAAAATCCGTTGACTCTTCCAGATGATTTGTAGCGGTATTCTACAAATCCTACTTGTGGGAAAATAATTAAATTTCCAGGCTTATGACTAAATGTAAGTTTGTTTTAAAATTGTATTTTTAGCCACGCGCATATTTCCGGTGTAAGAGCTATGTTACATTATCTGTTTTGGAAGTGGCCTTGACTTTGACTTCCGAGCGGACGCAAATTTCTGAGCTATTTTCCGGTCTTATGTCGTTTAGAGTTATGCTATAACATGACAGAAAAAGCAAAGGTTAGACGCTTATCTTAATCACAGCTTCCACTGAAATAGGTTAAATTCTTTGAGAGTGAAAAGCTTTAAAGAAGCACTACTCCTTTTCTATATCGAAATTGTTCCTTCTTCTAGATTTAAGGGTATTTGAAATTTAGTCGCCTTGTTGAAACAGATTTTAGTTTATGCAGGTGCTATTTAACAGGGAAAGTTCTAACCTGTGACGGTACCCGTGAGGGCAGCTGGCTGAAGAGGTCATACAATCTGTGGAACAATCAAGTTGTTTATTAAAGTTATAGGGGTATCATTGGTCACACGTTGATCAGTACTGCTATTTCCAAACAGTCTCTCGCCTGTACAACGACAAGCAGAGATCTTTAGGTTCTTAGACAAGAAAGGAAACAAGTGCAGAAGGCAAAATCTAGACAGACATTTACGATTTCTCGAAAACTGTTCTGTTAAAAACGTTTTTAACGCTCGAAAAGAACACTAATACGTGCCATCAAGATCCACCCTCTTCTTAAGTGCGGAGTGGTACAAGACAATGAAACGATAATTCGATTTGAGATGTTTTGAATGGTCAATTTCATACCCAAAGAAAATCTGTAGAGATTAGTAATAGTAACGAAAAAGACTGCTAGTAAAAAAGGAGTTGTGATCGCCCTTCTAGAAGGATCTTAATGATTTTTATTACGTACAACTTCTTTCACAGTGTAAACTGTAAGGGCTTTGATCCTTCCTGCAACAAAATCAAAGATCTGTCACTGTTTTAGTGAGCAAACATAGATTGATGCGCCACGCCCTATTCACGATGGAAAGATCGTTGATCACGGCAAACACTTTCCCACTCTCTTGTAATAACTGTAGAGAAGAATTCATCATTGGAATTGGTAATAAGATGAACTGACAGAATGACTAAAGTTGTGAAAGAATTTCAATAAGGTACGCGTCGAACAAATCCAACGAGGTTAAAGAAATGACTAAATTAATTTTAGAAAATGAAAGTGCTTTGTTTTTTGGCCGTAACTTCGCCAATGAAGGACTGTTTTTTTTTTTGCTTTGTTTTGTTTTGTTTTGTTTTTCTGTTACCTTGTCGTTTTAAGCTAGGACAGCTCATTATGAATTTACGTAGCACGATTCTCCAGTAGCTTTTTTACTGCTCGATTTGAATTAGTTTTTCACTCACCCATGTCCTCTTTTTGAATACTCTTTACTGTAGCGATTAAAGAGCTATGATCCGACTTATGCTATAAATATCAGTTTTTCCTCTCCAAATCGTGATGTATAAAGAGTGCTTGCTAAAATAGCTACCATAGGATAAGCTGGTGTGTGAGTCTTAATCCCTAAACAGGTTTAGGAGGGAAGATTATTCATCATCACTGAAAAACGTCCCATTCTGCTACGACGGACTTACCTAGTCAGGTGGTGTCGGCTGTATTTTCTGTCAACTTGTCAGCTGCCCTTCCCTTTTCGTACAGCTATGTTAGCTGGTTAACGTTTAATGAAAAGGTTAAATTGAAAAAAATTGTTGATACCAGTGTCATTCTTACTCCCCACAACCCCTAAATTAGAAAGAATCTTTTCAGTTATTCAAAGTTGCATGGTAACAGCAATAAGCCACCCCCCTCCCTTGCTCTTGAACTGAACAACGTTACCATACTGTAAATACACAATCACTTTCATTATCGTAGAAGGTAATCGCTTACAAATCCTTCAGTTTTTTATTGCCCTCGTAGGTATTGTATTTTCTCTCAACCAACAATGAAATGGACAGGTGCATACATCTAAATAACTTGGCAATCGATGAGTACATCAACGTTACCTGCAAACAGTATTTATTACTCAATAATGTCACGAGTGTAACATTAAAGTGTATACGTACATTGGAATTCTTTTGACAAAGGCCAGTGTCAGCTGCTTAGAGGTGAACACGCCGCATCACAGTGTGTGATCTATGAAAATTAATGAATGTTCGATTCTATAGTTAACTCTCAAATTTGAACACTAACACAGGTGTGGTTGACACTGTTTTTGTCATTGTTTCAAAATGATGGACGAGTGTTATTTGATGGGGTTAAAAGTTGATGTAAGTTTATGTTACGATTTAATGTCTTTGTTCCATGAGGAAGCTATATCTTTAAGGAATCGTTCTGCGAATTTAATCAACTAGTTTATGACGGCAATAATCTTAGTACAAGTGGTTGCTTAGGAAACTTTGTAATGTCTTGACCCCTGTGGCTAGAAAACGTAAACTGATGTTTTTCTAACAGCTGCTACCATATTCATTCAGTAGGCTCATTGTTGTTCATCGTAAGGCGCGCGAAGGAATTTGATTCGCTAGTATAGATTCAGTCACATGTCGATGTCCGCTTTACCCTTTGATTTTCGTCGAATAGAGTACAGGCAGATATTCTATCTTTGTGACGACGGGGTAACGCTTTGATAAGTATTTCCTAAAATTCCTCTGAAGTGGCGCGCGTACATATTTGGCACCTCTAAAACTGATAATCTGTGGCATGATTAGAGATGGAAAGTACTTCAGTAAACCTGAATGCTGATCCATTTGAGTTATGCATATCAAGTACACCCAGCGAAAATTAGAGGACAGAAAGGGAGGCTTCTGACCGTTAAGTGGGATGTGCCGTCAATTCGTCTTCTCATTTTGAAAGTTGTATAATCTGAATACTGAAAACTTAAGTTAGAGAGTGGTACCGTATGGATTTCAAATAATCGCTCGGTGTTTTGTTAAAGTTCGAGTAATTGGTGTTGGCCGTGAGCAAATTTTTTTCAAATGAAGTATTGGTTGGAGTTAAATGGATGGTTTCCAAAAGAGTTAAGAGAGTTTATAAAGGAGGAACTGAACAAGATATATCTCGAGAACCACGCGACCCATCCGTTTTCAATAGAAAATGAGGCACAAAAAGAAGCAGAAACAAAAAGGGTTGGATGCATTGTGTAATTGTCATGAAATCTTTATTACTGAGTACCTTCTGGATGTATTTTTAAGTACTAAATAATTTTTTCAGCGTGTTTACATTTCGTGCGAGAATGATAAGTGAGTTATTGTATTTCCTAGGGGACCTTATTTCCCTTGAACAATGTTGACTTACGCTGAATCAGGATTTGTTAATATGTGGAACACCCAGTCCTTTAGTAATGCCAATCTTGCGTACACGCCATAATAATTTGGCTTTGCACAGCTGTATCCCCAGCTGGTATCTCCCATCAGATACCACTTTCCGTTATCTTCACACACCAAGGGTCCCCCAGAATCGCCCTGACAAGCATCTATCCCTCCTTCCGGAAATCCTGCACATAGCATCTCACGCGTGATTTTGCTGGCTTCATACGAACCATTTTTAGTGCATTCCTTGTTCGAAACCAACGGAACTTTTGCCTCTTGTAGTTCATCGGGTGATGCCCCTCCTGGTTGAAGTGTTCCCCACCCTGTTATCCAGCAGTCGGCTCCCGGTGAAAATTCAATGTTGTCATCAGGAAGGCACACAAGACCCACACCGTTCATAAGTATTGCAGGACGATCCAAATGAATAAGAGCGACATCGTAGTTGTAATTTGTTACGCTGTTGTACTCGTGATGGAAATAGATCTTTTTGATGCCAAAGTCTTGTTCCGAACCGATCAACAGTGAAGTATTTTTGTAATGTGCACCCAACCTACATCGGTCATGGAACGAACATATATTTAGAGACGTTAAATGTAGGGCGACTATGGACTACGGAGGAACGAAAACTTCGACCGAGATGAGTGACATGCATGTGAGCAGAGCGTAGCCGGCGAATTTCTCACACTTTATTGAGGGAAGGTACGGAGTTGTACCTGATGTTTGAACAAGAGAAAGGTTTGGGTCAGAACATTGACTAAGGGGTTGCTTTTCTACATCACGTTAACGATATCACCATATTCAGAGCAACTTGAAGCGCTTTTGAACATGAGAAATGCAAGCATTGTTTATGGATAACTCAAGGTTACTGATTTTGACCTCCACATACGCAGCAAGATAAATGATGTTTTCCTCGCCCAAACCAGGTGCATCTTCCGTGTTCATTCCGAACAGGCGAGACCAAAACCATTGTACTCTCCTTCAAACCAAATTACAAATTCTATTTTTCTGTATATATTTTGGGCCCACCAAAAAAATAGAACGAATGTATATTGAACATTCTCACAGTGTGAAAAAAGAAAACCAGAGCAAGCTTCTTTTGTAGTTACTTCGCGCTCTTTTCGTTCTCTGTGGTAGATATTCTATGATTTTAACTTTGTATTTCACTCGTTCTGTACTCAGCCTGGTGCGAAAGAATAAGAGGGCTTGCGTCCATCGGTAGCCCTCAGTCACCATATCCTTAAGTCCCTATTAATCCAGGATTGAAAAGTATTTTTTGCGGTCGCTTGGTTCTCCTCAAGAACGCTTCTTTCACGTAACAGAGCTGATCAGATTTTTATAAGCCCTGAAGCAATTTGCTTCGTTTTGCATGTGATCAACATACCTGACCATGTAAGTTGAATAATCATCTCCTCTGATACTATTGACACAATGGGCAGCAGTCAAAACCCAATCGTGCAGCACCAGTGATCCTCCACAGAACTGCTTCCATTCGCCGGTGTCTTTTTGATACATGAGCATTGCTTGCCATGGCCAGGAGTTTGGTGTGGCTATAGCGCCTCCGACTATGCGCGTATGCGGTTTAACACCACAAAACGGTACAACTGGAAAAAAAATAAAATGCACTTAAAGGCTTCATTTGATCAATATCCCACATCATTACGACATGCTACTAAAGGACACGTTCAAACGTTTAGCACTTAAAAATATTTCTTTCCTCCAGTGACCATAAGAAAAATTCTTCTTGTGAAAGCACGTCCTCCCGTTTTCAACAATTCAAAGTTCTAAGAGGTTTTAACCAATAAAAATATAATGGATCTACTTTACCTGTTGTGCTAAAAACCAGGAAGAACTCAAAATTGATATCCAAGACTGCAATATTTCAGAATTCTAAGACATTTCAGCCAATAGCAATGTTATGTAAATTGATTGGTTTGGATCTCTAGCATCCCAAGGCTATCATTGTTAGTAACCCCTTCCGCTCCAAGTAACCTTCAAGACAGCCAACAGTTCAGTGAACTTAGCTTGTCAGTCTCATTTTATCTCTTGTCCCATGGTTATCATTCTACTATTTTTGATTACGTCAGTATCATAACAATAACTTACATGGTGGGGTAGGGACAGGCGTCGGTTGAGGAGGCTGCGGTTGCGCTGAAGGGGGGTTTATGTCGCATTTATTCGTGTGTTCGACCATGATATCATCAATGGCAATGTCACCCATGTATCCAGTGCCAACGATGCCTTCAAACACAATCTGCGCGTTGAACAGTAAATTAAACTCAGTTTGTAGTTACACATAAAGTTAGATATCATCAATGATTTGCTCCTACATGCAAATTGATATCCATTTGATTTAGAAGACCTCTAACCAGAGATTGAGACTCGTTTTATTGCTGCTTTCGTGTTGAGCGGTGTCTTGTGATGTCACTTTGGAATTTAATTGTGGTTTTTGAGATGGATTCAGGTTAACGGAAATGAGATTTCTGACATTAAATTGCAAGAGTTCCGACGTTAAAGTTCTAGACGTTTCGTTTTCGAACACCTAATCTCATTTGGACACTAATCGGATCGCAATGTTGCATTCCTTGCTGATACAGAGACAAAGTAAATTTACGCCTGCAAAACACGACGGAGACAATCAATGAAATTTTAGTTTCACTGCAACCTCCAGGTTCAGTCACAGCAGCGTAAAAATTGTAAAAAGTCTATCATATCTAAGATTTTCCTCCATTAAGATAGGTAATGGTTAAGTGTTCTATCTGTTATGCAGATAGATAGGTCTTGAATAAGAGAGATGGCATTGTTAAAGAAACTTTTACGCAAAAGGGTTATCCTGTAATGAAAGTACTCTACACACTTACAAAGTTCTTTTAACTATTTCATCTGTCATAAGAGTTTTTTGTGCATGTAATGAATTTAACTTGTAATTTCTTAAGCTCTTTTCCTATCATGAACTAAATTTACCTTAAAGGTGAGATCTTTTGGTATGCTTAATGGTATTGCAGCATTGTGCCACGCCTCTCCATGGTCCCCATTTAAGCGCCACAAAGGATGTCTGGAACCACTAATGGACTGGGTATATACTGATAGTTCGCGAATATTGAGACCAAACATATGAAAGTAGAAACTAAGACAGTTTCCATCCGTAGCAGATATTTGAGGACTAACCAAATGGGCTGCCTCTCGGTTTAGACGTGGGCTCGATGTCTCGATGTACATGTAAGAACCTGTTCTCACATAATTAAATGTTATGATTACATTTTTTACAATTGCATTGGAATGGGTTTATCAACAACATCTTAGATGCAAAGCCGCGGCTCGAGTGAGCTTGTGTGATCTTATCTATGTATCGCTTTTATTAATCGATGACCAAGTTGACAGTAAGTTGCTCGGTCTAGGCCGTATTGGGTAAACGACGATTTTGCGACGACAACAATAACAACAACAATAATAATAATAATAATAATGAAAATAAAAGTAATGACGATAATAGCTATATGATAATAATAATAATGATAGTTACAATAATAAGGATATTAATAATAGTGACAGTAATAGTAATAATAATAATGACGAGTTGATTGATTTAATTTTCGATATATTAAGCTGAATTAATGGAGTTTTGATGAGGGTACTCGTAATCAGAGTAAGATAAAAGAGGACTAACTTTGTTTCTTACCCAAAATTAGAAATAATCAAAATTGAAAATTACATGTTAAACATGACCTTTTTTAAATATGCATTTAATTTATTTTTAAATCCTAAATTTAAAATCATGTAAAGTTACATTCAACCTTTTATTTTCATACTCGTGTGTTGGTTGTCGAATAAGGACTGGGGGCTGGTCTGTATGACCGATGCACAAATGGGGCCAAAAGTAAGGGTTGCCTACGCAACACTTGCTGTTCAACGTATATTTGTTGTAATGCCTGACCTGATCCAGTTGTGTGGTCGCCTAATGGTCCAGTGTTGAAGCTTGTAGTGACTCCTGTGTTGTTAGTCCATTCGAAATCAGAGTTTTGATCGTGAGTATATCCACATAGACCATTCTCAAAGTCGCAGGTACCTGGTGCTTGGATCAAACGCCAAAGTAATAAAAAGAGTGCTACTAAAATTAAGTATTGTAGCCAGGTATCAAGACCTCTTTCGATCAGAAGTATAAGCCTGACTCGCTGTCTAACTAAATTCGGTTGCTCTATAGTTTGGTATTACTATCAAGGATCAACGAAACATCTTATTGTGATGGAGTCATAAGAGATCGTTACTAGAAAATCGGATTGCACGAAGGAATGTATATTAAATGACAAAATATTGTCAGATTTTTTCATTTTGTTGACGGGGCCAAAAAGGAATTTGTGAGAAGATGCCATTTTCCTAAATGCCCAGACTCGTGGTTAACTATCAGATCAGGTCAGGCTCTGGCCACTGAGCACGCAGGCTATTACTCCCTCCATGGCAAATATTGGTCAGGTGAAGGACTGAGTTCTAAAGGAATCGAAAGGAGCCTACCTGCGTTTGCAGTGCAAACGGCTGCCACTTTTAGAAGAAGGCAAACAGAAAACCACATCGAAGCCATTGCGCTGCTCTTGGAAGTTGCAAAAAAAATAGGTGTGATCGTTTTTATATGGCTTAGTGTATAATCACCTGCAGTGTGAGTGGCGATGAAATAGCCTTCGTTTATTTTTTACAACAATATAAGAAATGATACCAAGCTCGCCTGATTAAATTCCTTTGTCAATAATGATAACACTGATCATTATGCTTTTTCTTTTACGACACAATAATTGTTTTTACGTGTGCTTTTATTGTTCACCACCTGGAGAAAATTCAACAGGACACAGGGGGTGAATAAATAGGGTAAGTTTCTAAACAAACTGTGGTGCTGCGTTGGTGGGGGAGTAAAACAAGATAATTCAGTTTTATCAACTAAATTGACATGGTAATTCGGCCTCCATGAAGAGTTTATAAAGCTAACACTTCGAGCGTTAGCCTTTCGTCAGACGCTAACCCTTCGCTCTGACGAAGCCTTAGAAACTCTTTATGGTGGCCAAGTTTCATTATCAACTCCGCTAATTTTAAAAAAATTATCTTCAAACAGAGGTGAAAACTGGTATTTAACAACATGAAGCCGTAATTTTTAACTTCATGAAAAGCAAGAGATTACAATAATCTCTTGTGAAAAGGCATTTCTACAGCACTCTCCAAACTATTGGTGATCTTCCAACTATCGATTTTCTTGTTTCCTTGGTTTTCGGAAAAGGGGGAAATTCCAGCTAAAGAATTGGCTCACGCACCAAACAACTGAATAAGCTCCACAGTCCAGAATACACAAAGAAACGAGCAAATAACAAGTGATGCAATACCCCTTACTGTTGTACTAACCTACGCAGTTCTTTTTATCTATATAGAACGATCGGTGTTTAGCTCCCCTTATTTGCTTTGTAAAGGTAAATATAATGTGGGAAAACATTGTAAAAATGGAAATAAAACAACTGTTTTGAAAACGTATTCATTGGAAGTGGTACATTAAAAGAGACGGAATAAAAGCTAATAATGGATAACAACAAAATCTAGAAACAAAAAAATAATAGAGTAGAGCACGCCAATGTAAGCTTCATGAGGTTTTTTCTCTTATTAATGAGAAGCCACTGAGAGGCTAATCTTAATTAAACTTTTAACATCCTTAGCTTAAGTTCTTGGCTCGCAATTGACAGAATGTAAAGAGTTATAAGTAATAACATCATGCTAATGATTAAACTCGATACCACAAAAGATCTTTGTTAGAAATACGCATAATGAGTCCTAAAAATAAGTTATTTTGCTATCAGATTCTGTATAAATTGGGCGGTCTTCGTGTATCTTTCGTCAGTCTTGCTGCTGGGTTTGCATATATCAACGTGGTCCACATCAAGTGGTAAAAATTCGCCGACACCTAAATCTATAAAAGAAAATAACATGACTGAAGAGCAACTCGATAATTTATCAAGAAAAATGCTCGAACAGTTTCAAATATACTCATGGATGTCACAGGTTTGATACTACCGCACACGTGAAATTTAAGGTCGTGCGCCCTTTAATCCACACCACATAGAATAGCTCCGCGTCTATTTTTTTTTCTTTATTCCGGACGTTTGATCACTGAAGTTGGGCCTCTTTAGGCAAATTTACAAATGTTACAAATTTCACACATACTGCACTGTGTTATGCTTCCAACCCTTCAAGGGAAATTGAAATGGCTCCAATTGTTTTGGAATTCAAGTTATCGACAAATGCCGGAAATAAGGCGAAAATTGTGACTAATGCGTTTCTAGTCATACTTTAGATTTTGAGCAAATTTTAAGACAGAATAGAGAATTGCGAACCTTACAGGATCCACGATAAATAAATGTTTCCAAAACTAAAGGAACGTGAAATGGACTCAAAGTCGTAAATTTTACACAACAGCGAAAAAAGGGAAAAATGCAAAACATCAACAAATGACAAAGACAAAAAAAAAAAGCATGCTGCTGTTTCAGAAAGGGGTCAATGTCCTGAGCTATAGCGGAGTTTGTTTAACCTCATTACGAACTGACAAACATGGTCCGAGTAAAATTATACAAAAATTGAGCCGACGGGCAACGAAAATTGCTTCGAGTTAGTTGCTCTGTGGGCCAAATTACAGAAAATGGCTGAAATCTAGAAGAGAGAGGTTTTGTTCGGGTTAGCGAAGGTTCACGTTTCGAAGGACCCGAGTTATGAAGGTTTGACTGGTTGGATACAAAACTCAAAACTTGACCGGTTACCAACCTGCAGAGTCATTAGTAACTAGTATTGTTTGTAACATCCATGACAGCTTCACTGGCATAGTCTCTCCAAAGCTTAGTAACTTGACTGGATGTCGCTGGACCAAGGAGAGAAAATTTTCATGAAGAGTGGCCAAGAACGGTGATTCTAATTTGGAGAAAAAAGAGATTCCTAACATAAAAAATTGTTCAAAATCCACCTTACTAAGCTTTTATTTAAGATACCGTTCTAGACTGAACCACTCAGAATAAGCAATCTGCCACTTACTCTGGCATAGCTCTTTTACTTCAACTGAGGGAAGGAGAAGATGGCTGGCCTGGGTTGAGTATGATGCCAAAGCAGAACCAAGATGAGGAGTGCTGTAAAACACGATTCCCTTTGTGTTGTCGCACATGCTCCTATAAATGAATAAAGAAACAAGAAATAAGTACAGCAACTTTATCTTCGTGCATTATTCTAAAGGAAGAAAGGCTTTGGGGAATCATTTCCACCCCACCGAAATTCGTCGTCTTTCTCCGCATCCAACAAAAGTTGCTTCACAAGTAGCCCTAGAGGACAAGGAAAAACCAAATTTTGGTGTAAGTAAATCGTGTATTGTTAAGTCCGCCCATCAAGGCCAATATTCACTCCTTACTGTGTTTGTACGTTTGTCCGTCTATTCCTCAGTGTATTAGCTCGTTTTCCTGTGTAAACGGAAGTTATGGGAATAACTTAGTTACCTCCCATTGAATGAACAATCCATATAACTGGTCTCTTGCCGACTCCTGCCTTGCGCAGCTTCCTTCTTATCTCTTCACTTCGATACAACAAGGACTGACTGGAAGAGAGCGAATTGTGGAACAATCAATAAATATACCTCAGGGGTCTACTATTAATTTTGGCGCAACCGATCTGTGAGAATTTCGATTCTGCTAGTGCATACATGGAAATTTTAATCAAACTACAACAACCAGCAGATCAATATCCACAGAGTTGTTTGTGAAAAAAATTATTCTCCACTAAACGAGAAATTAATTTTCACAATTATCAAAGAAACCCTCAGCCGCATAACAGAAAAGCTGTAAAGAAGATTTCACATGTTATACTTACGTTTCAGGTTTCTGGGGACATTGGGCCACCCAATGCGACAGTGACGTATCATATTCAAGCATAAGAACCCGTATGCTGGGAATGTCCCCAACCAACCAGGACTAAAATGTTGGAGAAAAATCGTTTATTTGATGTTAATGTCACCTATTGTCAAATCTTTAGGCATCAAACCACAAGAGAACAACAATCTGGAACGAAAAATCTTCTAAAATCGTTTATTCAGTTGCAGTCATTCATAGCGGTGAAAGGTAATAAACATAATTTACCCGCCAAGGACGTTTCTTGGGCTTACGATGAGTTTCTTGGGCTTACGATCAGTGCAATAGATTGCTACATTTCTAGCATCGCAAGGACCGATGGACCCCGTACTGACTACATGCACAACGAATTTAGACCCCAAGGACTAGGAACCCGTACGACTGTGTTTCTAGAGTCCTTTCCCAAAGCACACCGGACTCGAAAGAATTCAGTGGTGTTATAATTCTCTTTATTTATTCTCTTTGGACCTCGTGCATACTTTAGGACATCGGGCAGATAACCTCAGAGCTCTTGCAGTTGTCGCTCGTCCTACTTTCGAAGTGAATCGCGAAACTTTAAATGCATACTTCTAGCCTTATTTAGAAAACCAACAAATCTGCTCTTTCCATTAATATTATTCATAATTATTAACATGACCGATTCATATTCAGGGCGATCCAAATGCTTTATACCAGTGCCAGCTGTCAATACTTTTGAAACTCAAACAATAAAAATACCCGGCAGGGATTGAAACAGAATCGACTGGATTTTGGGCGGAGACCCGCATCTTTGGAATTCCGAATAGTATTCCAAATTCTAAATGTGCGGGCCTTCGCGTGACCGAATTATGCATGGTCTCAGGCTCGTTAAGTTACCGGACTTTTGAGAAACAAGGCCCAGATATGAAAACGAGTAGAAGACATTCAAAATGGTCTAAAATGGGATCAGGATTAGCGAGAACGGATGGCATAACTCTACCAAAAATGGAGAGGAGCACCCCACCCCGCCCACCTCCCCCTAAAAGTTTGTCTATGGTAGAGAGCCAAAGTTTTTCAACAGTCTCAGACTAAGGCATGATTGTCGGCCCAATTGACTGCTAATGTTTGAATTTCCCAAGATAGCATCCAACACCAACATTGAACCCTGCACATAGAGCGACACCTTCCAATGCCTACTCCGACTGGGAAAGAATATGGTCGATTCAGAGCTGTATTTGCGCATATTCCTCGCATACCTTAGGCCAGCAGTCCGTACCAGAATTCTTGACATCTTTTTCTTCTTGTTGTCGCCAGGTCATGAAAGGACCACCGCGGAGGCCATGAACGAATACCACGTCGGCATCGATACTGGAACTACTTGAAGAGATTAAGAAAAGAGGAATGAATGATCGTTTCCTTGAACGAAGGCCAGTCGTTGTGTCTGCAGTTAGAAAAGCGCCCACACTCCTTCATTACGTATTTAATTCGCACGACAATAAGACCGCTTTAGAGATATTTATCATTGTAAGGGTTTTTTTACATCATGTTTAGAACTTCAAAATCAGCTTGACAGAAATTGCACTATGTGTTAATGGAATAGATCTATCAAAATGTAACTCCTGGGGACGTTTTTGAGGTAGGGGCACCCATGTACTCTGCAGCTTCAAGTGCATGAAGACGAGATGGTAACTTAGGTATTGTACTCACGAGTGCCGTCCCTGAGGATGAAGCAAGTAAACTCCGTCCTCGTAAGTCTCGTCTTTGCAGAAGTCTCTGTCAAGATTGGCCAGTGTTCGGACAGCGTGACTGAACAAAGCCAAGTCCTTCAAAGAAATTGAGTAGAGAGGCTATTGAAAAGGCAACTCTGCGGTACAGGATTGACTTAAAGGATTACACTGTAAAACCATATTATTAAACCGAGAATAAGTTACTACGAGGTCAACCTATCATTTTCTGGAAATGATCTCAAAGGAATACTCACATCGGAATACAACCAGGAACGTAAAAGTGGTAAGAGCCCTGAGAAAGAAGAAAAAAATTCACGCTACATAAACATTCAGTTCTACATAGAAGATAGGCATTCGCAAGAACTCAGCTCAGCGCCTACACTATGTTTAGCCACTTTAAATTTGAAAAATTTGACCAACTTAAAACCAGGTAAAGATGAAAGAACTTGTATTAACACAAATAAGAAAAACTGCTTCACTTCTAAAACGGATAATACACTGCTATCCTTGCTGAGGTTAAAAACTGGCAGTTTCTTGCCACACCTACAGCTCGTGTGATTACCTTGTTCCACCATGCTCTCATGGGTACTTTCCTCTAAAGCCAAATTTCCAAGTAATAGGCCAATTTCACGTTTGATTCTAAGGCTGTGGAATCGATTTTTGATCTCACGAGATATCACATCCAAAACCCCACTCTCCACCATTAGGGATCGATGACTAGGAACCTGACAGAAGAATAAATGGCGTTCTCTGATTCTTTCAAGTATAGTCGTCTTTAGTATACCAGAAGTGCAAGCTTGTTAGTGAGTGCGTGTTTTCCAGAAATTAAAAGGACTTTTCGCCGACAATGACGTTTCGACAACCTAAGTGTGGTTCATTAGTAAAATCAAGTGAAGATGTACTTGTACGCCGAAAGTTTGTGAAATAATTCTTTTAATAATTTGAAAAGTACTGCCCTATCCGCCTATTACTTAAAACGACAACAATAAAAATATTACTCAAACGATGGCCGAAGGCAGGTTCGTAAAAAGCCGCACGGCTGCAGTTTAAGAAATGATTACGAAATCGATCTTCGCGGTAAGGCCTGTTAAAAAAAATTCAGGCGCTGCACCGGTATCGCAGTGGTCATGGGCTCAAATCCCGTACAGGCCTGAGTTTTTTCAGCCCATATCTTTACTCGTGCTTAACTAGTCTTCATTACTGCAAAGATCGCTTTCATATTCATTTCTGAATCCGCAGTTCACGTCTATCAGTGATTTTCATATATTCACAGTCATTGAGTATGGTTGGGCCGAACGGGAAAACATTTGACTCTCGGTCATGTATGGCTGACCTCGCCCTATGTAATGACCTCGAGCTAAATATACTTTTCTGACCCTCTTACTCAGTCAATAAGAAAAAAACTTTAAAACTGTTTGACAGTTTTGTTTACCTGTGATGCTATTGGGTCTACGACCCAAATAATTATCGTTAGTAGAGATTGGTCAGTTTTAACCTAACGCTCGGTTTTACGTACAAATCCCTAGTAAATTTTAGCACAAAAAAGTTTTCCTAATGTCGAGTAACAAAGTTAGTAATATCCGTCACAGAAGTATATCTTTCGTTTCGTAATGTCTTTCGTTTCATAAAATGCCTTTGTTGTACCTAAAATATTTAGGAAAAAAATGTTGTAATAATAAGATCTGTCCCAGTTGCCATACCACTGAGTGCCTGTTTAGAGCTTTGAGGTAGTACAGTTCCACCTGTTCTGCTGGCATAGAACTGAGACTGTGAGCAAAGGACAGACTTTCTCCACTGAAACTCCAAAATACTGGCTATGAAGAGAAAATCCTAGCATTAAATGACCAATCTGACACACGCATATTACCCAGAACCTCCTGTCCTTCAGGGGGATATTTACCCTAAATTAGTTTCATTATGTGTATCCACAATATGTGGAGAGAAGCCCTAGCTGGAGATCAACGACAACTTCATCACAAGCAAAATGCTTTGCACCAATTTTTAATACGGTCGAGCCTCTCTAATAAAGACAAAGACGTGTCAGATAGAAGAGTCCGTTTAAGAAAAGTGTACGTGTTACAGAGGTCAACACGATGAAATTACTATTAGAACCCCACTGAAGTTTTTAAGTATCTAGTAGAAACAGAGACACAAATTTATTACCTTAACAACAATTAATATTAAGTAGCGAGACACTGTCTTGCAGAACAACTAAACGAACTACTTTGCAGTGGTATACCCATATGAAATAATACTTATTCAAATACATGTGAGGCGAATAGAAATTGGAGTCAAAATATTAAAAAATAGCCGTTAATGTTGGAAGAAAGATTATTATATTATCAAAACTTGAACATCAATCATCGGATATTTCACACCAGTGGATAAAGAGAAGAAGAATCACAACGTCCCTTGTGATCACATAGACAAGATAATAACCTGATCACCAGAGTATCCGTAAGACGAAGGTTGAGTTTATGTATATTAGCTTTCTGGTTAGTGATTTAGTGTTTGCCAGGTGTCCACATTAGAGAGGGTTGGTATTATAGGGTCTTTTTTACCCAAAAGTTTGAGCATTTTTTCAGGACATTAATGACTGTCGGTATTGGAGAAGAGTCCGTAAAGGAAGGTTTGACTGTGTTCTGGATATTATTCATGCTTACTCTACGATGCTGGCTTGCTGATTTGCCAGTCAGTATTGCATTCCGGGTAAACCATGTCGTACAAGGATCTAGGCCAGTAAGAGGTAACTTAAGAAGCAAGGCTTTCAGGTCACTCTCGATTGACTCAGGTGGTGCATCAGCCTGTACAAAAGAAAAAATATCACATACAAACATAGTTACATGCCATTTCAAACTACCAATTGGCCTATCAAATTATCGAGTCATGATATTGAAAAATCATGGAACTGTAAGTTGAGTCAAAAATGGAGCATGAATCAATAAAGGAAAACAGGAAAACAAGAGCCACAAAAAAAACTCCACTGGACCAATTCATTACGAAAAAAACAACAGCTAAAGTTGCCAAAGTTCAAATAGGCGAGGTTCTATCGAACGTATCAAAAATAATTAAATTGCTTCAATTAATAATAATCTTGATCATATAACTGTTTTTTATTTTTCCAGAGGGTACGGTAATGAATCCTGCAATCTAATTGGTTCTTAGTGTGGTCCGGACTTTCCTATCTCTGCCACGGGCACCCTAGCGCTTTCGTGAGTCGCCGAGTATATCCACACCTTCGTAGCCATTTTTCATAAATATATTTCATTTTGCGGCTGACCAGTATTTTTAAGAAAAAACGTCGGTCATGACCTCAAGCCGATAAATATCATTTTACTACTCTCGTTTTCTCATTCCCTCAAATCTCTTGGGTTGCCAGCAAAACATTTGTTTCGAAGTGAATTTGTGGTAGCAAATGTGTCATAGAATGGGTTGACACGCGGCCTTAAAGGCCTATTCTAATAAGAGAGAGAGCAGACTGTCACAACTTCAAACATACGTTTGAATTCAGTTACAATTACCTTTCTTGCCATTTACTGAGCAGAGGTAAATATTCATAGAATAATCGTCGACGCTAGTGAATAATACTTCCTGTAAGATCATTAACAGTTTTTGAAGAAAAAAATTGCCGTTGTTTCTTTTCTAAAGTGTACATACGCTTTTTTTTAAGCGCTCTCTAATTGACAGGTGTGAGATTGTGACCGATACTTGTAAAAAAATGTTTCAAAGTTTGTTAGGAAGCCTTTTAAATCATCTTTTTCATTACGCAAATAAGAATGTTTTTGTGAAGCCTCTCTCTTTACTTTGAATTACCTCTGTTTTCTTTACCATCTACTCACTCAAACATTTTTTTAGTTTATGGAGGATCTTGCCGTAATGTAGCCCTAAATCATCAGAGTTCTTTTGAAAAGAATGTTGTTAAGTTTTAGAACATTTAAATTTATGTCTTACCCTTAATTCTGTTCGGTGCACACCAAGAAGCCTGGTATCGAGTCCAGGTAACCTGGCTAAACCAATCAGAATCCTGTTATCACATGATGCCACAAGTTCATTCAGCTCCTGAGTTTTCACTTCTAAAAACAAATAAATTCACTATCTAGTAGGTCCAATTTTTATCTTGTGAATTCAAATTTTGAATAAACATAGAATAACATACAGGCCAAATACTTTCATTAGGCATTTGCGATATATTCTCATATTTAACGACGCTGATTTTTTTAACGCACCATAGTTGCGTTTAAATTTTATGTCGAGTAACAAATCGCACAGAAAAATTCGTTTGGGAAAGGGTTCTGTATATTTTCAAAAGCACTTCTTATTAAGTCGGCAACATTGCTAACCAGATTTTAAAATTTTCCTTTAAAATTTGTCTCGTTCAAGGTTTCGTTGAGAGTTCTCTCTCGTGCAACAGCTAGGGATTAAAAATCAGCGCTTACGATCTACTCGTGTGACCTTACACTTTCAAGAAAGTTTCCATCTCGCTCATTCACTGAATATCAGTTTGAGCTTTACTCCTAAATCCTAACAGAAAGTAGTGCCACTCCTGCTGATTCTTTAAAATCACCTGAGTGGCTCTCAACGACTACTTTAACCCTTTCACTCCCAAGATTTTAGTAAAGTAATCTCCTCACTGTCTGCAATACAGTTCATAACGTTGTCATTTGAAGAATTTGGCATTGGATCAACTAATATTGCCCTGTTTGACATTTTTCATCATGCTCATCAAGTGTTTGCTTAATATCATATTGATACTGTAAGGAGAAATTCTCTCTTGGTTAAGAAGAGGTCATTCGTTTTAAGAAACTGTGCACTCTCCGGGACAAAATAGTTGAGAGAAGGAGACAAATACCACAGTTTTTGTAATGAAGCTATATAGTAGGCAACTAAAAGAAGATGAATCACGTTGATCTCAATGTACATGTATTCTTACAGTGCTATCACTGAAAAAGAACAGGGAGAGCTTACCCAATACAGGTACATATTAGAAAAGGGGCACTTATTAACAAAAACAAATTTGAGAGGGGAGTTTATTAGAAAGGGGGCCCTAATTGGAACAGCACACACTAAATAAAATCAGATGACAGTAGTATAATACAGTTATCCTTGCTCAAAAGGAAAGTACCCTGAAGGGGATATTGAGAAGTTCTCTTAATAAGCATTATGATAAGTCTTCATAGATTTAAAATTCACTCTCTGGCCCATAAATACTTTAAAGAGAAAAATACAATACAATTTACACCCAAAGTTTTCTAACATATCTATGTAAACTAATATCTCTTAACCCTGTACTTATTATCCATTTACCATCATGAATCTTAAGGGAAGCCAGCACTTGTGTTCCAAGTATCCTCACATCATCATCATCAAACTCCTGAAGAAAAGCAAGGAACTTCTGAGGTACTGACAAACGAAGGGCCAAGGGAGATGATAGAGCTGATAAGACAAAAATATTAAATTTAAACTCATTGTTAAAAAACCCCTTCATTTGAAGGGGTATTTGAATGTGCAAATTAAAGTTTGTTTCAACCCTTTGCCAAAACTCTTACAAAGTTTTTTTTTTATAGATCTTCTCAGTGAGCCAATGACTCCGTTAACAAGAACCTTTATGTATCATATAATTTTCTTGTAGAGTATAAACTTGCAACTCACAAGTTTATGAATCTATGAAAAGACAAATGGCATGAATTTAACATCTAACCAACCGCGTTCATATTCATCCAAACATCACTGGTCAGTCAAACAACTTGAGATTTGATTGTTTTTCCCTTCAGCCATTAAGAGTAACTACCACCTAATTTCTCTATACATTGTTGCCATTGAATCAAACAGTAATGTTTAACTTATGAGAATCCAAGAAATGACCACCCACTCAAGAAGCTCTTGACAACAAGTTTTCTTTGTCAGTATCATAGGAAATGGAAAACAGTATGGAAAATATATCTACTGATGTTAGGATGTAAAGAGTTAAATTGTTGGAATATTTTGTTCAGCTCTCCTTTTAGTTTTCATCATCTGAATGAACCCAGTTTCATGAGATGCATTTCAAAAATGTAATGATTATGTTTAGCACATTTAATAATGAGTTCTCCAAGTGAAAAATAATCTAGATTTCAACTGTAGATATCAAATTGAACAATCTTACTATACTATACACTAATTACTATACTTCTTAACCCAAACAAATTGTCAAAAGACATTTCCTCATTTGGCAACTTTGCCAGTCATCCAGTCAGTTAAGATAACCCCCTGATAATCAAATTTATTTAAAGCAATGTTCTAATGTTTTTGGAGTTATTGACCATAGATACCTTTGGAGAACTGCAATATCAAGCTGCTTGGTACAATTGACCACAATGTTTTTTGCCAATCTTCTGTATCAGTAAATTTCCAAGCTTCATCAAGCCAAGGTACTGATAGAACAGATAATGAAATGGCTAGTTTTAGTAAATCATAAAATTTACAAATGGACAAGTCTGGCTCTCAAGGAACAAAGAAAGCACCACAAAAAGTTGTTAGGAAGTCTTTTTATTCATCTTTTTCATTATGCAAATAAAAATGTTTTGGTGAAGCCTCTCTCTTTATTTTGTATTACCTCTGTTTTCTTTACCATCCAATCCAAAGCTGGTACAATAGACAGTTATTGAATGAGGTTGAACATGATATCATGAAGAAAACTGAGGTCTGACTTATCTGCTGAAGGCAAAGGCTGAGGCACAAGGTTTGATAATTCTTGATATCATGCAAAAACCACATTCAACAATTGTTTTATTACACATTTTTGAACATTGTGCAAAAAGGACACCTCTGTCTGAGTTTGTAAAACTCTGAGAACATTACAAGGACAAGGACCCTGGAAACTTGGCAGACTTTGAACTTGACAAGATAAATGCAATATCTGCAGCAGATTGAATCAGATTTTTATCGTAAGTCTAATGTAAGGGATATCTACCATATGTTGGCATGCTGTAAAAATATAAGTTCAAATTGTGATTACTTCACGCATTATTAATTTAAATTATTCTGACAGCAGTATTCCACCAAAGACCAAAACCTGAACATTCCATTTCCATTTTCATTTAAAAAATTAATCTTTCACACACAAAGGAAAAGAAAGAGGCCTCTTTCTTTTGATACTCTGATGCATACCAATGAAGTACCCTTCATCCCAGGCAAATAAAGTTTGTCAAGATCGACCACAGCAATAACTACCTTGCAAACACTCAGCTAAATCATGACTGCTATCTGCAATTTCATCAGTGGTAAAATCGAAGCCTTTATTTATTCTGTTGTCTTCTTTAATAAGGAGACTTTCGATGTTATGAACAATTTCCCACGTCATGAAACCAGCACTGTAAACGAAGATTACAGCAGGTATTGTTACCATACAGTGATAAAACTTTCCATGAATCTAACTCACATTTACTTTCCATCAAATTTTGCTCAGCTTTTCCTCAAGAAAAATGCTTTAAAAATATTTTACTACTCAGAGGTAAATTTATTTGTTTCATATGATTTTAAAACTAGAATTTTTTTTTTTCAATTTTGTTTCTAATCAAGTGGTTTCACCTACCCAGCAAGAATGGATGCACATAGCTGCAGAGGGGCTGAAAATGAAAATAATAAAAACTGCAAACACTACAATGCTTTGTCGGAAGAGTATCTAAGGGCAATAAATCTTAGGACATAATCGGGGAGCTACATGATGATTGCAAAGAAAAACGATCAAAGATCATCCTTTCAACACTATCTTACCTTTCCATGTCATATTTTCAAATCATCCTCGATTTGGATTACACATAAAAGCATGTCTAAACCATAAGATTAATTCTCCGACTAGAAACTAACTACTTTCTGTTTGGGAATTCGCAATTTCTTTCAAAAAAAACTAACAGGCGTTATACGCTTTGACCCAGAGCTCGCGCGACAGTTGCACTTTCTGTCACGCTAACAGGTCACGCACCAACAAGCAACAGCGCTAAGATCAACGAATGATGTAAAGTATATTTTACCTTACGACTGTCAGCTACATCTTGGGTGCAAACAAGGAAGGTAATTTATCCTCTGTATTAACGACGTTTCTTCTACAGGAAGTTATAACGTTCACTAGTTCCAGGTCTCTTCCTATTCGAAAAGAGCAGGTGTTGGATCCACAACATGGCGGAAGGCGCATTTACGAAGGCTGTGAATCAAAAATACCCTGGATTTACCTATGAAGCCGAAGGGAAGTGGAGAGGCCCTTTCTGTTTCGTCCATGCAGCAGACACACAGTTTGGCTTGATTGACTCGTGGAATGGAGTCCCGCTTGGCGAGCAAAAGTGGGAGAAGGAGATCGTGTTAACACGTAAGGCTATCGTGGCCGCAAACAAGTTGTCACCGAAACCTAGATTCTTTGTGGTTTGTGGTGATCTCGTTAACGCGTTTCCTTGGGAAGAATATAATGATTCACAGGTCGAGGATTTTAAGAAGGTTTTCAAAGAACTTGATCCGAGCATACCACTAATTTGCGTGTGTGGAAACCACGATATTGGAGATTCGCCAACGCAACAGTCATTACAGAAGTACCGCAGCAATTTTGGCGATGACTTTTATTCTTTTTGGGTTGGAGGTGAGAGTTATCACTGCTTTTGGTGAAACATTAAACATATATTCAAACCTGATTTTCCTTTTGGAGGTTAAGCGTAAATTTTCTCGACTATAAAAGATTTCGTTATCGCGCCCTCGATAATTTGTTTTCTATTATTCATCGTAAAAAATTTCACTTTTCAAGTCCTTTATAGTGCGTTATATCGGTGCATTTGTATCATTTCATAAAAATGTATCAGTATGCCGTCGCGAGAAGCCTTTTCAATTATTATTATTTTTTTTTTATTATTTTTTTTTTCATGCAGAAGTTTTACGCTTCTATGGAGATTTTGAATTTTTAGTTTACGTCTGTAGGAAATGTACTTCCCATCCATATGAGCTATGTAGGGTGGGCCAAGAGGGGAAAATCGTCATCATTAAGGAAGTAACCGCCCGTTGTGACAACCTTCAAAAGTGTCCTCCATGGCCACGATGACTATTGGAATTGGCATAGAATTAGAATTGGCATATTCTCTTAGTCTGTGGTTAAAAAAAAGAAAAAGAAATAATGATAAAGTCAAAGAATACTTATGGCCAACTCTTGCATAAAGTATTCAATCAAGAGATGAAACATGGTTGTGAACTTGTAATTACTGGTCTTGCAGCAATGCAAGGTTGCTCTTATCTCAAAAGCCAAGCTTCGGGAAAATCATGGAGGGTTCCACAATTATGGTAACCATCCAACTCAGCAAAATAATAAATGCATATAAAATCAACAAAACCAGCACAAAATAGTATCCTGCAATTATCAAATTACTATTTGCAGAATTTGACAAATTGAGATGCTGCCATTCAAATCTTTCTTAACCTGTACAAGCTAAATTCCACTATCTTCCATTCCTATGTCACATTTCACCTCACAGTTGCACAATATAACACAACAATCTTTGTTCACAGGGTTTTCTCCCACTCCCACAAACTTAACATTTTTGTGCCTTGGAACAAATATACCTCAGAACACATTTTATGTGACCAGAAGTTTTTTTGACTGATTGAAATTAAAGATATTCAGAAATGAATTCCACAAGTTTTCTTTTGTCAGAAAAAGCACATGATTATTTTTGTCCACTTCTGATTGATCCAGCTGCTGATTACTTAAGATAATTGAATGTAATCAAAGTTTTTTTTTTATATCAAATCATAAACAATCGAAGCAGTTCCCAGCACTGGGTTTGTGCCTGAACTTGATAAACTTTTGTTCACTTGGAAGGTGATACTTAAAGCAATGATGCATAGTATAAACTGTAACAAAGCCTCTCTATCATTTTATGCACGAGTTCGGGACAACTGATTACCACAGTGTCTACATCTTAGATTCAGGATGAGTGAGTGACTCATTGGGATATCAGAGTCCCCATAAAAAAATTGTTTGCACAAGTTAAAAGAGAAAATTTTGAAAGAGCTGCTTAATTATAACATGTGCTGCATCCAGCCTACTCTCAATCACCTGATGTACAGCAAAATTTTTGTTATTATAGAATCTTGTCAAAATATGTTTCTTTTCTATGAAGCCAATACATATGTATTTTATTTAAAGATGAATGAAAAAAATGGTTACTTTAGTATATAAAAAATGTATAAACACCCTTGTTTATCTCCTTAATGAGAAAGATGAAGGACAGCTTTTCTCATACCATCTCACACTGTGAATTAAGAATCCCTACGGGATACTGCAGCAGATGTGTTAGGCCAATAAAAGTCTCTCAGTTGCCCAGATTCCCTTTCCCCACTCGAGTTGAATGTTTATATCTCTCAAGGGGGATAGGGCCACAAGTGATTTGGTCTGCAGAAAATGTGTCAGAATGTTCTCTGCTTCTTACACAATAGGATTAATTTATAGCCATGTTGCTAACTTCGTTGGTTCAGTAGAGGAGTGGTAAGGCATCAGCCTACTCATTTCATTAGTTTTATGATTTCTGTCCCCAATTTTTGTATTAGTTCATAAATATTTCAACCATTTGTGCCAGCCACTATTAGGGTGACTTTCCATCACACAAATTAAAAAAAAGGAAGTTTACTTAGATAATTAAATTAATTAGATAATCAAAGCCAAATTTTGTTGCACATAATATTATAACTGATGTGAGTAAATGTTTTTTTTTGGGAAAAAATTAAATCTCTCACAGTCACTAGCAACCACTGCAATCTCATGGTCCTGATTTCTCTTTTCTTTTTACAGGAGTCTTCTTCATTGTTCTCAATAGCCAATTTTACAAAGATGCAAGTCAAGTGATTGATCAGAAACAAGAACAGGACAGATGGCTGGATGAACAGCTTGAGTTTGCAAAATCATGCGATGCACATCATATTGTGATGTTTCAACACATTCCTTGGTTTTTTGGCAATCCTGACGAGAATAACGATTACTTTAATATCGAGTTAAATCTACGCAAACAAATGCTATCGAAAATGAAAAATGCAGGGATCAAATATGTATTTGCTGGTCATTATCACAGAAATGCTGGTGGCTTTGATCAAGAGTTGGAAATGATTGTCACAAGTGCTATTGGCCAGCAAATTAACAATGATAAAGATTCTGGGATGAGGATTGTATGTGTGGGCTCAGAAAAAATTACACATGAATATTATGAACTTGACAGTGTTCCAACCTGCGTGACTCTCTAGTTATCTGTTTGATATTCATCTGTGTGGAAGATTTATGAAATTCCAGCGCAGTCAGATCCAAAAATGAAAACAAGTTACGATTTCAAGAATGAGAGGTATCCTTTTCATCATGTTCTGCCCATTGAACCAACTTTACTCAAGAGTCATTTAATTTCAAACACTAGTTATCAGCTCAATATAATCATAGGAAATTTTATTAGAGTTGGGTTAAGAATAGACTTTGTCAGGGACCCCAAGTCCTGTTTATTTGCTTAGTACCTGGTAGCTTGTACTGTACTGATCATTTCATTAAATCAATAAATCAGTTATTACTTTGAATTACAGTTTTTAAGTAATATTTGAGAAAGAAGACCAATTCAATTATGGCTTTGGCAAGAATAACTTTCTAGGGAACTACCAAAAAGTAATGGGATGGTTAGAAGGCCAGTAACAAAGTAAATAACAAGTGGGGGTGAACTTTTATGTCAATAGCACTTACATGTAAGCCTGGAAAAACTAAGAGACCAATAATTCACTTGTGACAGTGGTTACATGTGGCACATAAGTGAGAATAAAGAAAAAACCAATCTTGCATCTTCCTTCAACATGTAACTAGATCATTTGAATGCAATTTTTCTTGCTTTTAATTTATTTTTTATTTCTTGATGTGTGCCATATTTATTTAGAAGATTAAAACAGAAGCTGTTTTAATGGCAGTACAGCAAATGTAGTTGGTTCTATCAGTTACCTGCTGTCCTATCCTATAATGTATTAAAACTTATTTTCACTGTCATGTTAATCACTATTAATATGACTTTGTATGGTTTGTAGTTATTGCACAAATTTTAGATTATTATAAGAAATAAATTGAAAGGAAGCTTGATCTGTATGCATTACTGAAATAGTACCACTTATAAAGCCAATGCCAATATTACGTAATATGTACTTTTTTACAATGCAATTGTAAATAATGTTTATTTGATTCTTAGGTGGCCTGTAACACTTCCCGAGTCTTTGCTTGAAATTAGTACTTATAAGTTTTAAGCTTTAAATTCAAGTTTATTCAAGTCTGAGAAACTTTGTCTTAGTTTCCACCTTACACTGTTAACTCAGTACAACAAATGGATATGATTTTATCCACTACATGTACCTTACAATGACTTTGTAAAGTTACTGTAACAACTGGTACTTCATTTCTGTAAGTAATAGACTTCATAATTATATAGAGGACGTAATAGGGATTCATCTTAAGCATGATGTTGAAGCTGCCAGTTGTTAATCCTGTAATTTTTATCCCTTCAAAAGAATTGCAGAACAAGAAGAACCTTTCAAGAACAAATGTGAATATTTAAAGGAATTTTCAGACAGTAGAATTTGATTTTGCAGTGAACATCATGCTTAAAATCTTGTCTCTTATCACATTTGATCAAAGTCTCCAATCACAACTCAAAGATGGACACACAGGTCCTCTTATTGTACATTCAATGGGTAAACTTGTCTCACACAAACATACATGTACTTTTCAGTACCCAAAATGGAGGATACATTTTGAACTAAGGATTAAAATAACTGTTTAAAATTGTGAAAATGATGAAAATCATAAAATAACCACTGAATTCAGAATTGCTTTCCTGAATATTTATAAACATTTTTATAACTTACAGAGTTAAGATACTCGACACTATATAGATCCTCAAAAATATATATCAATGCTTCACATACAGGAAATTATTGTAATATTAAGATTAGTTCGAGTAGTGTGATCGTCCGGGTGAGTGTAGTTCTGAAAAGAACTGTTGTTGGTGACTGACGTTTCGACTATCTGTGCGATAGTCATCTTCAGACGATGTGTGTCCAGACGACCAGGACGATCACACTACACGAACTACTGATACTCCTGGGTTCAAACCATTTACTTTAATATTAAGATTATTACTCAAATAAATGTTTTAAGCTTTGCAGCATATTACATGAGTTATCCACTGATAAAATTTGTCCACTAGTTGCTTTTTTTTTTCAATTTTCCTCCATTTTAATGATTACAAAAGAGAAATAGAAAAGGGTATAATATACTGAACTAATAAAATACCCTCTATATTAACTCCCATTTTTCATTATTGAAACAACAATTTATACACTAAATTGCCTATGTTAATTAAAGCCTCTCTTAGCTTGAGCAAAACATCCTTGTCATAACAGAAATGTTTTCACCTTACCCCAAATGAGCATAAAAATGTACTGTACTACAGTAAGCTGACACTTAAATATGAGTAATATTCTCACTACACTTGCCAAATTTAAGTACTGCTGAAATTTTCCCAAAACACAAACCCAAATTTTGGCAGATGAAAGCAAATACAGGTCTGATACCACACCATAAAGACATTGACTATCATAATCCCCTCAAGATGTAATTTGTTCTGTCAGGTTGGGAGTTTTAAATTTGAATACAAAGAACTTCCATCTCTTTGTGACAGTAATAGAATCAACATCAATTTCAGACTTGGAATAAAAAGCAGTTAATGGTAGTTACATTTTTTTCAAAGCATTTGGAAACTAGGCAGACTTTGAACTCAACATGACAGATGCATCATTCACTGCAGACGTTGCATTTATTGTGCAAGCTTCACATGCAATTTTATGATGATTGAATACTCTCAACCACTCAGCTTTTTCATAATAAGTCTAATGTATAGTCAGGCGCGTAGGAGGGGGGGTTCGAAGGGTTCGAACGAACCCCCTTTGAAGTTCGATAATGGCGGACTGAAATACAAATGATTATAACTGACCGGCGCACAATTACATTTTCAATCACATACGAACACCCTTTGGAAAACTTCAGCTACGCGCCTGATAGTAATACTTTGAAGAAAAGCATGTTTCAACTTAACTCATAAGTTTAAAGCATTGTCTCCATCTCCTTGCCTTTACACATTTACATTAAAATTATGTTTACTTAACAATTCAAATTCAATGAGCTTCCCACTTAAAAAGAGCAAAAACAGTTGTTTAAAAAGCAAATTATTTATTGATAAGGAAAGAGTAGACATTTTCTTAAATCATACCTCGGGTGAAAACATGACAGAGAAAAATAATAGTTCAGCATTATGACTTAAAAATGGAAAATCTCACTGTCATCGTGTCTGTAAGGAACAAGAAAGTTAGAGCTGTTAGTAACATTAAAAAACCAGATAAAACACTGACATAATAGAGAGAAGATAAGTTGCTCACTAAACAAATTCAATGTAATCACCAGAAATGCAAAGGAGTAATTACAAACTTCTTTTAAAAGCTTAAATAAGCAAAATTTATAGATAAATATTTATTATTCCACCACCATGCAATGGAATATAATGTGAAAAATATGCCACAGCATTATGCAAAAATATGGATGGAAAGCTGAGTTACAAAATGGATGCACCGAATGATCCAAACATTAATTTTTATATTTTAGCTTGATGTTCAAAGAACCAAACTTTACACATACTAGTTACTTATTGTTGAACACAAAGAACACTTGAGTAGTTTTCATTTGTGTTGATTTTATCTTTTGCGCAATTGATAATAAAATCAGAAAAGGCCACAAAACTAAAAGGTAAAATACAAGAAAATGAAATGAAAGTGGAATAAAAAATCTTCCCTTGTTTAATTGTTTAACATGTAATAGGAACAGACATTATGTTCTTTGTATGTATTTTTCTGTGCCCTTACTTGGCTCTTGGTAACTTTAAACATTACAATACATACATATTTCTTATCAATAAAGTTATGTTGCTGTTCTTTGTTACTGAACACATTATAACTCTAAGTGGGAGGGAATTGCTGAAGGTAAATTTGCAAAGGTGCAACGTCTTTATATCACTGGCACAAGCATATTTAGCTTTCAAAAAACCAACTTTTTCTGACCATTTACTGATAAAAATACAATCTTCCTTGGAAAATAAAGCCAAAAGAAGGGTGTATTGTTTAAAAAAAAAAAAATGGTCCTCTGAAATTAATATAAATAATAATCAAATAATGTAACTACAACAGTTATCAAAAAAAAGTTTTTGTACAGTTTTCTTTTCATGATCCACAATCACACACCGGTGAATTCACTTTATCATTAAGACCATAGAATTATACGACCTTATAGGTAGGTCATGGTGCTTGAGTTGCTGGTATTAGGGCTTTCATCGGGGGATGAATCAGCTGGTGCACTTTTTTGTCTACGAGGCATCTTTTTTCGAATGGAATCGGTAAATTTCCTGAAAGATCCACGGCTGCGTGTCTTGCCAAATGTTGACGCATATTTCCTGTCGTTGCGTTTAAACTGACTCGTGCCTATGTGAGAATCGACTTCTCCAAACGATTTGCTTCGTCGAAATAACTTCTTCTCAGGCTGGTAAAAAAGCGCTTGATGCTGTAGAGCGTCGTACAGAACCCTTTCTGAGGCTTTGTGGCTAAAATGCCCTTGAAACCTGTAAGAATAGCTTCCTCCGTCTTTCCTTTCATGAGAATAAACAACCACATAAAATTTCCTGTTTTGAAAAGTCATGGTAACAATTTCGTGCCAGGGAAAATTTTGAACCACATTTCCCGGTATTCCAAAGGTATCAACATCAAAGACGAGAACTCCGCTACTACATAACGCCAAATGTACGTTATTACCATTTTTATCAGTCGCTCCATGATGTATTGACATGCCATAGAAAGGAAGATTACAAGCAATCTCTAGGAAGGCAATTCTTGCTTCGCTAGGAGTCATACCTTTATGAGAACGATGTAACTTGTAAACGATATTTTCGTATTTCTCTTCACTCAATTCAGCATCGCAGTTTATTCCGTTAGGGGGAGCGAAGAACGACCCCAATAAATCCTCCAAATAGCCACGAGTGTGCAACTTGGGGTTGAAGTCACCAAGAACGGCCTGAGCGAAAAATCCGTCCAGAATGGCGTGCTCATTGACAGAGGTGATAAATTTACCTCGAATCAGAGAATCTTTGATTTGCAAAATCAACAATTCTTGAACTTCTTTGGGTTCGGCAGAGGCTTCTAGAGGATAGAACCTCACAGCAAATTGAAAGGTGTACGGTTTTCTTCGCTGAGGTCTGATCTCTTTTTCAAAATCCAACCACGTTAATTCGCCATCAACGCCATCTACAAACTGCAAGCCGAAGTAGTTTCTCGTGTTCGGCGGCAAACTTAGCTTCTCACACACTCTGTCGAAGAGTTCTTGTCCTTTAGCAGACTTGCTATCAAATTTAGTTACATAGAGAGAATTGTCAAGAAGAACAACTTGACATTCCAGTCTTCCATAAGATTTTCGTCGCTCAAATTTTACGGATTTAAAATTCGCCATCTGAAAAACTGAAAGTAAGCTTGAGCACCGCAATCAACTCTAATAATAAGGCTTTGCTGGAGCAACCTTCACCTCATTCTTCCAAAATATATTTTCCTTGCCATCCCTTGATTATTATGCTAACCCACAACCCAGAAAGAGTTGAATTTTTAAAGTGATAAAGCACGATCGCTCTGTGAGCAATGTCAACACATGTTAAAAAATCTCCCCTTTCCCTCGAGTATTTCTGTTTCTGTTCTCTACTGACCCCTGATTGGCTCTCGGTTGAAAGGGCTTTCTCGCGCGAATGTCGCGTGGCCGTCGTCGCTTGTAAGATGTCCTACGACATCGCTGTAGAGTTCACAAAGAGAGTTTGTCAGCTTATTTTTGCATAACATTTTAAACGAATAGTTTTGTATCTGACGAGCTCGTGTGAACTTCCTAGCATATACCTGTTTCCTGAACTTTTCCTGTCACGCAATTAGTGTACAGACACAAACACGTCACCTGAACCGGCCAGTTATCTGAGTTATTCATTTTACATAAATGTAAACTGAATTCATTAATTTTTTTTTGTGTTCCAAGGGCACGTCGTGCACACTGAAAGAATGGCCGACACGTAGGTCATGTGGAATTAAGCAAGTTTATTAAATATTAATAATAATTAATATCTCGTGCATTACATCAGCAAAATCTCAATGCTCTTTCAAAAATAGTTTTTTTTTAGGATCCAGTAAAAACCTTTTACTTTAATTAATTGTAATGCAAAAACTAAACAAGGAGTTAGATCGACATGCTCAAATATTAAACAAAACATTTTAGGTTTGTTTTTAAAAATACAAATGGACGGAGCGCTCCCCACGTCTAATGGATGCACAAGATGAAAAAGCGCGACCAGTTTGTCCTAAGCACCGCTCTAAACAGTAATCCCATTGGCGTGGGCCGGTGGTCCGAAAGAACCCGTACGGCCTCAGTAGGTTCTTTTGCGATAGATTATGTATGGCTCGAAGGAAGAAGGGAAAAATTATTGCAAAATCTTTCTAGCAGTTGCCTGCTCTGAGTGGTCATATGATGAAATACTTATTGACTGAATTTGGTCGGCACGGACGGGATGGTATTTGGCTCTCAGTCATGTCACAATTACCTCGCTGCTCTCAGTTTGTATGTCATGGCCTTAAGCCAAATAATTTCTCGTCTGGCCCCCCCATTCAGTCAATGTGTACACAGTATCCTTTCGTTAGATTGCGTTAGAATGCTGACAGATGCATGATGTTTTTGAAAACTTAACGTTTCACTATACTCTAGTCTCAGAAGTTGAATGGATAACTCATACTTCCTATCTCTCCGCCCTTTGGTTGAAGCTCACAGTGGTATCAATCGTACATCCCGCAATCTGATATGAATTTTACATGACTTATTGAAAGAAGGCACTTCCGGTTTCAGAGCCCGCGGGATTGAACCAATAGCCAAAATATAATATTGATAATTACTGAATTCCATCGTTGCCGATCATTTGATCAACATCAATGTAGAGTTTGAAAATTATTACTTTATCTCACAGGAATTCAAGTCTAAAATTGTTTGTGTCTCTACCTTGATCCTTCTCTACGTCACTCGAGCGTCACAGTGTAACCTTATATATTTTTTTTTCCACCGTTTCCTTACCGAATCAACACAACCTAGATATTAGTCACGTATCTCTGACAGACGCTAAAAATATCACCCAATTGAAATACAGTGAGTTTGATAAATATTAGATCGAGTAGGTGTGCGTGCATGATGAGCTGTTTGGCATAGTTTTCTGAGGAAGTTTATACAGGAAAATTCTTGAAAGAAAGACAGTTTTACATCGTGCTGGAACAAAAGAAGTACAATTGATTCAAGACAGGCGATATTTTCTAATACAAGTAGGTCAAGATGTCTTTAAGCTTTCTTCGCTCATCTTCAAGTATCATACAATGTCAAGTTGTGTTACTCGACAATTCGCAATTCATCACATCATTTGAACAGCAGACAGTGAAGGGAAACGAGTTGCTCGATAGAGTATGTGACAAGATCCAAGTGCCTCTCTATTACAAGCAGTACTTTGGGCTTCAGTACATTGACCGCGAAGATGGCGAATTGGTATGGTTGAACCTCGAGAAAGAACTCCCTCCTCAACGAAAATCCAAACCGCTGTTGTTTCAGTTCGCTGTGAAAGTATTTCCCCGGGACCCTCTCAAAGTGGAGGAAAACTTGCAGTGGCTCATTTTGCTTCAGGTCAAAGCGCTAATCAACCGTGGAAAGTTTTCCCTCCCTGTTAGCAAACATGCCATGATTGATGGATTCTACGTGCAAGCCACGCTCGGAGATTTCAGTGGCAAGCGACACAAGCCTGGTTATTTAGAGGAACTGTTAGGTCTATTTTACTTCCCACCCACAGGTATTAACACTGATGAGAACATTAGCGAGGAAAGTTACGAAGTAATGGTCAAAGATTTGCATAAATCGCATCGCGGGATGACCCGCAAGGAGGCGGTGTCTGCGGCCCTCGACGTTTGCAAGGAACTGGATAACTACGGAGCTTGTTTACATTATGGAATAAGTGATCACAATGGAGAAGAAGTTGTGTTCTGTGTTACAGTGGATGGAATGCGCATTTGCCATTTGAAGAGTAAATTTCCTGAAGTGGGCGAAGTATGTCATAGTTTTCAATGGCGTGACATCATCTCAATGTTTTGTGATAACGCAAAGTTTTATATGTACGTGGAGGAAACTAAAGAAGAGCAAAAGTCCACCTGTCACGTGTTTCGCTTCAGCAAAGGCCTTTTCGCTTACAAGGCAGCTCAACGCCTATTGATTGACGCTGAAAATCACCAAAAGTTCTTCTTCGAAGACAACCCTGAAAGGGCGACACTCATTAGAAGCCGTTCTTTGGAAATGCAGTCTTTAAATAGGATTCGAAATGGATCACTGCTATCTACCAAATTGAATCTTTCCTTCAGGAAGCAAAAGTGAAACACTTAGAAGTCAGCCTTGAGACCTCTTCTTGACTTCCCTTGATAAGAACCAAAGGTTTGAACAGCCTTGATGACTAAAGCAAGTCAGTCAAACAAACACTTTAAGTCTTCCATGGTACAAACAACACATGATACATACTTTGTGATTTAACCGGTAAATGTATCGTGTGCTGTTTAAAGAACCTATTTGTTCTTATCAACGGACAATATCAACCAAAGTCTGTAACACAGACACGCGATCAGTGAAGCAGAGATGCGGATCAAATCGAGAAATTTCTACATATTTAGACTTTGAGAATGAAATTTGATTGATAACACAACAAGTTGAAATTTTCCAAAATTAAGATAAAAAGGCTTCTTCGTCAAACATTAATTGGCACTAATAACTTGATATATACACTAAATGTTATTTCTTTCGAGATTAGTGGATAGCCCTCTTGCTAAGCTCCATGACATGTTGAACTGCACCAAAATTATGCTGAACTAAAGTTTTTCCAGAATGAAGATATCTTTATCGTTTGATTAATCGTTTGATTTATGGAAATTGCAGAATATCTTCACCTTTTTTTTACCCATGCGAAAAGGTAACTTAGGTCTTACGCACAAATAGCGTAACCTCTGGCATGACCAGAAACGAACGTCGTACGCGTACTCTCCCTTACGAGCAGTGTTGTGTAAAAAATGAGTCACTTACATGGATTTATAGAACGACATTTTAACCCTTTCACTCCCAGGATCTCATTACTAATTCTACTTAGTCTGCCATACAATTCTTATGATGTTAGTTTGGAGATTTTGGTATGTGATCAACTTATAATCCCCTAATTGATATTTTTTTGTATTCTTATCACCTGTCTTCTTGACATAATATTAATATTGTAAGGAGAAATTCTGTCTTGGTCACTCATGGGAGTTAAAGGGTTAAGGTACGAAAAGCAATAACCACCAATTAGCGATAAACAGCTGATACCGATTGTTAACGGCTCATAAAGATCACAAACAACATAATAAAACCAGGGGACCAGATGAGTTAATTCTATTCATGTCTCCGAAAAAAAGGAAAACAAAAGATAAAGAAAAAGAAAGAGAAAACCACAGAGTTACAGACTAATTTAAGGGGCGAATTTCTTTTCGTTCGTATTCACTTTCGTTTCCGATCATTTGTTTGAGGGAGGGTAGGGACACGACCGTGGAAAGGTGAGAGAATGGTGTTCCATGTCGTTGTCTTTCCTGTCTTTCTATTCTTATGTGTAAATATGTGTCACTGTATTTCTAAACGATGAACTTAGTTAATAACTTGTATAAGTCGGTAAATAAGTCATTTAAAGGGACAATTGTAATCGTATGAAGATTCTTGGAAAGCTGTATGGTCTTATGTGGTCAGTACTTTATAGAGCTGACCCTTTACACTAGGGTGTATGCATATTCTCCATACTGTTCTCTATACATTTATTAAGGTGCTGACAGAAAAAACTGTTTACAAACCAGAAGCTTCTTTAGTTGGGGATCATTTCATGTATTTTCATGGTCTTTATATGTGACCGAGGGGAGAAATTAGATGCTATTTACTCAAGGGGTTAACAGGTAAAAAAAATTAAATAAGTTCTTTTGTTCAGTGTCTGTGGTTTCGCAAGTTGTGTTTGACCAGCTGTCTCGACTAAAGAGTTTCATCTACAGTTAGGCTCTGCGCGAAGTGCAATTAAATTAATGCAGAAATTAACAGCTATTTCCATACTCTTTACAACGCGAGTCATGCTGATGCATGACTTTGATGCTGCGTCTTCCCAATTTGATCTGTGAGTACTCGTTTAAAACCAAACTGTAACCTTCTCCACTATAAAGGGGGTAAGTTTCTCAAGAAACTGCGGTGCTGCGTCGGTGGGAGATTATGAAAGGGTGATTTAGTATTATGAAATGAGTTGTTAACCTAAATTGGCTTCCGTAAAATGTTTTAAAGCTGACTTTTAGGGCGCTAGCCCTTCGTCAGAGCGAATGGAGGAGAAACACACATGGATGGAGTTGAGAGTAAACACACACACAAACCAAAATTCCTCCATTCGCTCTGACGAAGTACTAACGCTTGAAACTTTAGCTTTGAAACTTTTTTACGGTGGCAAATGTTCGTTACCAACGTTATATGTGTCTCGATAGATGTAATGCTCTGATAGATGGAATGTTCTGAAACCGGTGAAGAGTGTTGTAATTTTCAATCATAGCAATACTTGACGTCAGAGCTGGATCATGGCGCAAATTTCGAGGATCACTCCAAATTGTTGACCTAAAGACCTTAACATTACCTGAGGATGAATCTAAACCTTTTTATCAGAGAAATGACGAACAGAACAATGCTTGATTTTTCACAAGTCAATAGACTACACTTTGTTTCATTTTCATGTTCTACAGTGAATACAACTTAACCTTAACCAGTCGCCGGTATTAAACCTTGCCTCAACTCCGTTGAGCCGCTTGATCAGTTACCGTGCGAAAAGTAAATTTTTCTTATAGTTGCTGGTTGGCTGAACTGTAGCTGCACCGCACAGAGGTTCTGGAAACGAGCGGGTTCATTTTAATCGAAACTCTTCATTCATGGGTGTGAAAACATAGGAGACGACCGATAAGACTACGTGAACGTCGAGTGTGAAATTTGTGCTTCCCTTGCTGAATGATTATATGCTACGTACTGGCCAAGTGTGAATATGGAAACATTACACACCATTTGAGAAAGCTGTCCCTCTGTGATTCTTAAGGTGACCGAAACTCAACGTCCCAGTTAAGCGCTCTGTGAAAACTTCATATGATTTCATGTGACTTGATCGGTTACAGCCGAAGAAAAAATTCCCTTCTATTATTCTTCCTGCATTTTGTTTTGTTTTGTTTTTTCAGCCACGTAAAAACAGAGAGACTGCTTATCGCACAAACGTATAATGTAAATGTAGGAGGGTAAAACATCAAGCAAATACTAATTTTTCACATGAGAATTATGTTCCTGTGCTGCCATGCCAGAAATCGGTTTCCAAACATGTCACTGATATTGTTACCTTCTCCTGGAAATAAACTTATCGATTTGACATACATAAGCAAAACGGCCTTTCTTGGAAAACATCCCCAATTGGTGTCTCGATCGATCAATTTCATTGCGACGAAGTTCTGTACTTCATAATTGATGAATTTTTCTATCGTTGCTGTTCTCATTTGCCAAATTTCCCTGAATTTTTATGTTGTTACAATTTCTACAAGAAAAACTTACCTTTCAATTTCCTCATCTGGTTATAAAACAAGTCTTTGTACGAATAACACAAGTTAACATCTTCTTTGATGAAATTTTGTCTGTTTGACTTAAATCTAAAACTACAAAAGTGTACCAAAATAAATATTTTCTTTTTCAAACTTTTCTTCTGTCGGAATTGTAAAATCAAAGCAGATCTGTTACCCGCACAATTATAATCGAAAATGTAACATGTCTTGTTCCCGTAGTCGGTAAGCGTCTGATTAATAATTTAATGCCTGCAACGGAACCGATTCAGAAAACTAATAGCGCTGAAACATGACGCAAAGCGATTCGTAAGTTTACGCTTCGAGAATTAAGTTTAAACAAGACTTATGGAATTAAAAGTTCCTTTTTTTTTTCAAAAAATGACACAAAGCGACGTTTTGATCTTTTAGCTCCACTGAGACGAGCTTAGTGTTCAGTTTATTTGGTTTTATCAAAACATAGCTTTTGAATTTTTTACAAGTGTTGTTGTTGGTAAAACTTGCGAGATTGACGATTAAATTTCTATCTCTGTCTATCTCTATCTATGGGGATTTCGGCGTGTGAACCACACTTACAGGAACACGCTTATGCAAATTGTGCTACATTTAAAAAATGACTATAAAGACACTGTATAAAAGCCGTTCACGATAATCCGAGAGACTCCCAAAGAAAGAATCACTACGTTTGGACTAAACACAAGATAGAGGCAAGCCTTCTCAAGTTAGAATCAGAAAAAAAGAGATGACAGGTGAGATACCCTTTTTTCATCGTCAAAGAGGCGCGGCGTGAGAACTAGCATATTGTTTTAAAACTCTTCAAACTGCGATTTACAACCTTTCGTGCGTTATTTCGACTTTAACTCAATTTCCCGTGAGAATACACTAATTTTTTTCTGATTCGGTAACCGACTGAGCCGAATGATAAATAACATTGATATGCATTCGTTCTTAGTTTTAGGATTTGTAACACGACATGCAGTCGTAGCTATGATGATTCTGTTATCCTTATCGCATGGTGCACCTGTTGATAAACATTCTACTCACTGTCAAGTCAGCAAAACAGCCCGAGGTTTGATAAAACATCTATTACCGATGTCATTGATACTCGGAGGAGACGTTTACAGGTCGTATGTGAATGTAGTAAGTCTGAAATTTTGTTTCATACATTAGCCTAGTTTCAATAAATCGGTCAGTGAGCAAGGAAGAATGCCTTGAGTAAAAAAGTAACTCAGAGTTTTCAGTAGATCCTTCAGCAACTAACCATTCAGGCCTCATGCAGTCAGACAGTAAGTCAGTCTTTGGGTGAGTCAGTCAGTCGGTGAGTCATTCAGTAAATCAGTCACTCAATCTCTTCCTTGTAAATCAACTTCCATACAAAGAAAAAACTCTGAATGAAATCTATTCTCTATTCTCCACTTAAAAACAAATTTTTTAAGTTGACGGGTTGCCCACAGAATTGTTCGAGGGGCTGTCTAGATAGATTGATTAATGACTTTTTAATGACTTTGATTAATGACTTAGAGAAACTATCTGATTGATAGATTCACTACATGACTTGGGCCAATTGGCTCCAAATTTGGTACTCTTCATTAACAGATTGATCAGTCGATGGATCTTTCAGTAACGCAATCAATTTATTAAATGACTGAGAGGGTCAGTTTTTTCATTCAACTAAATACACTATAATTGATTTTTTCAATGTTCAATTTTGTTTCTTGGATTGCTTTCATTTCACTTCAACGTTTTGTTTAGTCCAAGCAATGGCTCACCCCAGCTGACCAGTGGACAACTGCCGAATTTTCGTTCTCTTTACAACAACCGCTGAATAGAAGCAGATTACAGGTGCGTCCTTTTTGCTCAGTATTCTCCTCCAATCTCTTCAATACTCGATGTGTGTAACCCTTTTATATCCAGACCTTATACCGTCATCTAATCTAAGAAAATAACATTGTCTAAATAAACCAGTTTATTCTGAAACGACATTCTCTAACGGCTAATGATCCACTTGTTTTCAGCCTGGAAGACTTCTCCTTGCTGATAAAAATATTCTGAGCAGCTTCCTATCCTTGATTCAAAATTCTACCGTCAATTTCCGGAGATTTCCTGACGGTGCAGCAGCCGTTCAGCAGTTGATGAATTTGGAGAGTGCACTGCGAAACATGATATCGTACCTGCGAAAACTGGAAATGGTTTTTGCCCTGGTAAGTGCAATGAACTTTCGTGAGAACGAGCACAAATATTCGCAAATAAGTCGAACGAGTATTCTTAAATACCAGACAATTGACATTCTTATCATGAATGCTTCTACGAGAAGCATTTTGAAAGGCCCTCTAGATTGATCAATGTGACGTATTAAGCAATTTTTGGATGAGGTTAAGTTAAGTACCATCAAATATCAATGCCGAGGTGAGAAAAATATTTGGAGGCCACGGATTTAGCTAAAACCGAGGCCCCAATATATTTTCCTACCTTGGCCAGAAAAATTTTCAAATTTTTCACAACTTCGCCTGTTCCTGTTCGTATGTCCCGCCTGGCCCCCGTATAGCTGCTAACTATGGCTTTTAAATACAGGCGTTTAGTTAACTTGTAAAACTCTCCAAAGAAATCTACGAAAGTTAGACGACACGCGTCAGAGAATAAAGAAGTTTTACTACTGTTCGTAAAGTGCTGCTCACTACTTTAGTTTTAAAACATTGCTCAAAAAATTGAATATGTCCTGAGAGGAATGCCCTGAGTGTTTAAACTTAACGAATGGAAGCTTCACTGTGGTAGCATCCTTCCTTGCAGGGCTCTCCCTCAAATGCAACAGCACCTGTGGGATCTGTCATAAGTGGAAGCCATGTCTCAGCAGTCATGCCCATACGCATCTCTCAGATCACTTCCCAAAACTCAACTGGACTCCTGAATTCTACCTCACCTACAATTCACAGCATAGCACTTCGCGTGTCGTTGGTTTTGAATGATCTATATTCTAGCCTTCTTGATATTGACGTTGACTTCAACAAGATTCTGAAAACTAAGTGCAAAAAAGAGTAACAGCCTATCTCACCATAGAGTCTCTATGGCTCAGTTGTAGAGAGTGGATCCAAAGGTCGGGGGGTTCAATTTATCATGGTACCTAATATATTTGAAATGATTTTCTCCTTTAAATGAATAAATTTACAGAATTGATCTCCGATGTTACATTTAGTGGAATTTGTAAATTCAACTTAGGTCTAAAAGTGAAGCGTAAACTTAAGTAGTCGAATGCAGAAGGAATTCATACAAGTGTTCCAGCTTTACTTGTAGTTGTATTTGTCTTTATTTCTTTCAATGGAAAAATATCAGTTCTTAGTTTCAAATCTTAGAAGAAATATCAATAAAAATTCGGTAAAGAACGGTTAGAGGCTAAGATTGACAAAGTAATCTGACAAACTGCTTTCAATGGAGACCTGCGTCTCTCGTTAGCAGGGTCTACCTTCAGGTGGGAATGATCTGAATAGGGATACGAAGGGACTGTGAGTATTGTACCATATCGTGCATAGTGGGTACTATTTCTGAATCAGAAATTGATGTAATTTACATTATATCACTGAGTTGTAAACCTTTTGGCTTATTACACAGATATGATTTCACAGTTGTTATGTTAATGTTAAAAATTTAAAGTGCGTGTTTACATGTTCATAGACCAACTTGTAAATAACAGTGATTACGGGCACAAGTGTTGTTGAGAGAATTCAACAATTTTCCAATCAAATAAATGCACTTGTAATCCTATCACTCAACTCATTTTTTGTGTTGCTATAGAATCAGAAGTAAAACGATCGTGAATCTCTTTCCTAAATTGGTCCCTTCTGTTCATGTCCAAACTTCCGTTCAGTCAAACTGGTGGATAAATAACATGAAAGAAATGATAGATATCTGCAACTGAATCAGAACCGAAGCCCTGTAATATTTCCTACTTTACATAATTGATAACATCGAACTATATCTATGACAATTTGTATTTACAGAATGAATTTAATTTCACAGTTCAAAACTTTTCTCCTTTTCACCACCCCAAGTTAAATCCGATTAAGAATATGAGTCGAAGTCTGTCCCTTCCGGAATAATCGTTTGCTTCCAAAATAGATGCTTTTCTAACGTGAAAAAACCGCCGCCATCTCGATTTGTTGATATCATACACAACTGAATATACTGTTGTTCCAACAAGCCCTACATCGACTCAGTTCAACCACGTAAACCATCAGTTTTCTGTGTTGTACTTACCGTAAATTTCTCTCTACCATGGTAGTCCTCGACTTCTTCTTTGCCAAATAATAAAATTCCCCCTATCTATGCTTCCTTGTTTGCCTAATGGCATGTCAAGAGACATCAGTTGTATAAATATTCCACGGGAGCTCCCCAGAGAAATCATTTGTTTCCTTCCCTACCGTTTCGAGGTAGTGAATTTAAATGAATATTTAAGATTTTCCTTTAAAATGAAATCGATGTGTTGATTGGTATTTTTAAGAAATACGTTTAAATCGTGTTGGGTTTGACGCCTCCGACCAAATCAATTTGAAATTTTCTTATTTCGGTCTTCAGCACTGAGATAGACAGGTGCATCGTATTCGAGGAAAAATCTTTCCGAGAAAAGTTATGCATTTTTCGTGACAATAATATTCTTCCCAGCTCCCTTGGTAACGCAAATCTGACGCATGTCTAATGAAACATGTTCCTTTTGTTAATTTAAAGATATTTTTTCTTTTTTCATTTTTGTAACAACAGATAGCTTTAATCGCGGCAGAATTTGTTCCGCCTCAAAAAAACATCGTGGTTATAACTTCAAAATTAAATTTCCCTGTGTCTTTTTAAAGCTGCTGAGGTATTCATGTGTTTACATGTGCTTGGGTATTTGGAGGGTTTAACAATTTTCATCTAGCACTCTATCTCTGAAGAGAAATATTTATTTTGTATTGCAAGTTTATCTATTTTATCGCCCGATTCTTTACCAAACATGCCAACTAATAAAACCTTTGTTTTACTATTTTATATCATACTTTATTTTTGGTCCTGATGTAGTACGCCTACAAAATGAAGAAGTTATTGATTCCGGACAATTATAGCGAGGACGGGAAATGTTTTTGTTGGGGCAGGTGGACAAAGAGGTTATAGATACTGGAGGTGCCAGAGCAATTTCGACCATTTTTCCTTCGGTTTCAGTTCTCGTAAACTTGTCATAGGTAAATATGTCCGAGGAGAAGTATAGAAAGCTACTGAAGATAAAAAAAGATTACTTATTGAAATTGAATATGTATATGAAAATGTCAGAAAATATTTCACATTTATTTTTCCCTTTTTTTATATGAATATTTTACCGGCGAAAGAAAAGAGGATACAAGTCTAACAACGATACCACTCTTACAAAGATTCTCATCATACTTCTGGACCAGTTTTAGTCCAAAATAAATCAGTTTGTTTTAACTCTCTATCTCTTTCTCCTTCTCCTCTCGTTATTTCACTGTCTCTCTCTTTCTCTTACTTTCTCTCTGTGTTAAGTTTTAATTTTCCTTGAGGTATCTTATTACAACATTTTCTTTGACTGATTTCAAATAAGATCTTACGAGATCGCTCTTTTTGTAAAATAAGCAAAAATAAAAACGACCTGATATACCCATGCAGCAGGTGTAACGGATATAGATTTTGCACACGGGACAATCCTCGCGATTTTTCCCGCCCTGCTGCTAAATCTGAAAACATGAATCACATTTTTTTTCTTTAAGAGAGCTAACATTTTTCTCTGGATCCCAATTCACAAAGTTTAAGATATAGATTATTGGAGTTCAGAAAAACCGTCGGCTAAGTTCTGTCAAATGAAGGGTAAGATTTAAAACTATTTCTGAATTCCCTTTTCCAGTATTTTCGTTGAAAAGGATTCCATGCTAAGTCAGTTATTAGACTTTGAGTGATATTATACAGTAGAAATTTTTTTTAAATATTCCAGAATGGGTTAGATTTTTAAATTCCCACTATTTTTTTTATAGTTTTAATTTCGTTTAATACTATTCCTTGGTATAACCATGCAGCTCAGTTGAACAAGAAAGAAAGTTTCGTTATTGTATATTTGTATTTAATTAACGGTACCAATGTTTCTGTTTCCTAGTGATTACTGCAGTAAATTTTCCCGTTTGCTGTATCTTGACAATAGCGACATGTTTTCCAGTTAAACGTCCGTGCCAAGAGGACGCCGATGCTCGCGTTCTACTCTCAAACGCTTTAATTCTCTCTAAATTTCTGGCGAATGAAATCACTGAGCTCAGCAGCACGATTGTAAGTTTTGCCTAGCACATTCAGTTACATCTTTTCATAACTCTCATGATGTCTGGATTTTCAATTGAAACACACTGATATTTAAAAAAGCAAAGAAACAGTGATCCGTTTCTCAGTTTTTGTATGATAGGTAGTTTGTTCTAATTACGCTGATTTGCCTTAAAGGAAAGAAACTGGCCAACAGACCGTTACAATGAATCCAATGTAGACTTCATCGTACATCTCGGAAGGTTCAATAAAACAGCACATACGGTAAACACTTATGTAGCAGTCTCTCACTTACTTTTATGTCCTTCAGAATTGCTTTGTAGGTCAGTGAACGCTATTGTCATGCATGAAGATATCTTTCGATATAGTGGTTACGATAATTTATTGTAGGCGACTTTGCTAATGAACTTAATTAACTGAATAACTTAAGAATATCAAAGTAAGGCATCCTCATTAAAGGTATAGAATTAATTATGCCGTTTTGTTAACAAATCTTAATGATTTTTCTTATTTTTCAGCCTAAGGAAATCCTCAGAGTAAACTTTCGTATATTGAAAACCTTTATGGCAGCGATGAAATATTTCATGAAACAACTGAAACGCCTCAAAGGGGCCGAAAGACTGGTTACCAACGAACTTAGATCTATGAAAAATCACACCAAGGCACTCATAAATCATCTGCAAAAAATCGTCAAAATCATTGTAAGTGTTGTTTTGTATTTCTGTGGAATGCTCCATCATACATACATCTTCTTTCTCAAACTAAAGGGTAGCTACATTTCGACTGGTATTCTAAACTTGTTTTATTGTAATTAAATCAGCAGCAACGACGAGGGAACAATAGTACACCACAAGGTACCCAACGGGGGAATGGCACTGTCAACAAACCATGGAATCGTCCTCCAGCAACACAAACCACTCAAGATGTACTGCTACACATCAAACTTATGTTGGACGAATTTTATGGACAAGTAGAAACACTCATAACTGATTTAATGGAAATAACTTGTAATTAAGATCTGCAGGAAAAACCAAATCCGAGTAGGACGAAAAGTAAAAGAAATAATTGTAACGTCAAGTGGGTACTTCCTATGGAAGATAACGATATATACCGTTTTATTAAATTAATATGTCAAAAAGTAAATCGGAAAGATGATGATGTAATTAAATCCCACGTAAATAATAATCAGTCAGTGTTATTTCATTTTAGTGAAAAAACAAGGTGTAATTTTAATGAATTAAAGTTATCTGAGACAAAGAAAAGAAGATTAGATTTGTTGTGTTTCCTTCTCATCTCCCCTTATCCTGAATCAATACACACATGGAATTGGCTTTGATTATTGGTTGGGTAAAAATCAAAACTTTCAGAGATGTTCCGGAGGTTACGAAGTTACGGATAACTTTTTCCTGCTTAAAAAAATCGTTGCCAATTGTAGAGTGTTCACTGGACGATTAGTAATCTTCGTCGTCGTAAATTTGTAATACAGTGCATATTAACAATTTTTTTTGCGTCACTGTCACATCTCCCATCAAAGGCAATCTAAACCCAGGCCTAATAATAACTTTATCCATCTTTGATTTGAAAAAGTTAACGACCATATTCATTTTGCAGGCAAATCATTATCATTTGCGTAAAAATCTTTTCCTTAATTGAGCTTAAAAAAGTTTCTGCGTCACGCGTCACTAATCAAGTTATTTCGTAATTAATATTCAACCCGATTAGTGCTTTGAGGCTATAGCGAATTGTTACAAAACACC